TAAAAAAAAATAATAATGAAAAAAACTGAATGTAATAAAAAAATTCAGTGTAATCTCCTATTCTAGTTATTTCCTCACCTCACAAGTACTCTGCTTGTTGTATGATCCTCTTAAAGACTATCAAGGTTTGCAATATTCTTCCTAGAATTCTCAATGTTTATTCATACTACTTGCTTCAAACTTTTTCATATTCTACCCCTGCAATGCATGGACTCTGCTGCCATTGTTTGATATGCTGAGGAGGAATTCAAAACTTTACTGGATGAAAAAGAATCATGTAAGGACAGACAAAAATATTGGAGTACTTTAACTTTTACACAGATTAATATTGAAGTGCTTTAAATATTTCACACATATTAATATCATTATGATTTACTAAAGTAAAATAGTAATACCCCAGCCCTAAACATATTTTCAAATTTTAATTTTAATCTTCATGATGTGATTCTGTGGGGGCAGGAAGAATCTTAAAAAAAAAGGGGGTGTGGGGTGGGGCTGTTTTTATCCTTCAGAAAACAAGGTGCCGGCAGCTTACACGTTTTATATATTCCACATCATGTCTCCAGAATAAGGATCTGCTGGCATTGGTGGCGCTATTTTTAAATTGAGGTATTACTGTATTTCTTTTACATCCAACACCAAGTAACTCACAAATACGGGATGGAATGATGCTTTGTAGACTTCATGAGAAAATCCTGTGATTGAACCCAGGACCTTTGGGATTGAAAGGTATGAATCTTAACCACAAAAAAAATTCAGAGGCAAATTAGTTGCACTATGTGGGTTTAGTACTAAAATGACCATTAGAAGTTCTTAATGCATACAAAAAATGATACTTATAGCACTTATTCCATTAAGCAAATAATATATCTATTCAACATTACTTGATGCCAATAAATTTTAACATCTGAATGGCATTTTTTGGTCTGATCAGACATTTGAGTGCTATGTACTCAAATATTGTATAGTAAAAGTCTGATAAGACATTTTTTGCTCTGATCAGACATTTGAGTGCTATGTACTCAAATATTGTACAGTTTTATACAGCGAATAGGACTGAGATTTGTGTAATATATTTAATATGAACAATAGAAATGTCATTCACATTGTTACCATACCTGTGGTTTTTGTTCAGGAAGCTAGGTTGGAGAAGGCACGAGAAGATCTGCTGATCCAAGCAAGACGGACTGCTGTACATGAGTTGAACAGAATAAGAGTAAAGAATAAAGAAGTCTGTAAACAAGCAAATTCCCTATTTCATTTTATTACAACTATTTCATACTATTTTACCTTGGAATAATTTATTTATTTTATATACTGTATGTTTATCTTATAAAAATATCTTGGTTCTCTATTTTTTCATTGCATAGATGCTATTGGCTCTGCAGGTTTAATAATTTTTAAAAATCTTGGTCATAGTGGATTTTGCCTCTATGTTTCAACCATGTTGTTCCGTCCATCCAACACTTATGTTTATATATACTCAACTCTGTGAAAGAATATTCCTTAATTATTTCCACTCGGACAGTCATCATACCAAACACAGTAAAGTTAAAAATATATACAGTACTCGCGCAAATAAGCGCCCGGGCGCTTAAAATATTTTTTTTGCACTTTTTGAGGGGCGCTTATTCAAATGGGGCGCTTATTCGAACGGGGCGCTTATAAAAACAGAGTGAAAATTGAGGGGCGCTTATGGAAATAGATGAAAATCGAGGGGTTCTTATGAGAACTTATTATATCCAAGAGACACATTTTGAATGAAAAACGATTAAATAAGGACATCAGGAAACCGCAAATTACGAATGGTGCGGCGGCGGAAAAGATAATCGTCCAGAGAGCATGGCTTGCCAGGACAAGAATATTGTGAGTACAGTATTACATAACAGCAGAATAGCAGATGAAATTAGTGGTGGTGGTTAGTTTGTTCGCCATCGGTCGATTGAGAATAGCAGGACGGCATGATCATTGCAGGTTTTCTTGAAAACTTATATGAGAATGTGTTAGAGGTGCAAATTGTCGGAAAAGGAGTAGTAGGACTAGGCTATAGACAAATGAAAGAAGATGAAAGTTGGAAATATACTGTCTGTCCAGGGAGCTCTCATCATAGATAAATATCCTCACTTTGATATTGACTAAAGGAGAATGTGATTCCACTCCACACCTCAAATCATGCCAACATCCACAGTCCCAAGATTGATTGGGTTATTGAGGGGGCGTTTATTCAAATTAGAAAAATTCAAATTATTCAAACAGGGCACTTAAGGAAATTTTCTCGTTATGAGTGGCGCTTATTCGATAGGGGACACTTATTCAAACGGGGCGCTTATTCGAGCGAGTACGGTAAGTGCGGCACTGCAAAATGCCTTACATGCTGCACTGCTAACTGCCATATATGCTGCACTGCTAACTGCCATACGTGCTGCATGCTGTCATATGTGCTGCACTGCTAACTGCACTTCGTGCTGCATGCTACCATACATGCTGCAATGCTACTACTGTACAATACGTGCTGCACTGCTAACTGCCATATATGCTGCACTGCTAACTGCACTTCGTGCTGCATGCTACCATACATGCTGCAATGCTACTACCATACGTGCTGCACTGCTAACCACCACAGATGCTACAGTACCTCACAACTACTGTACCTCATGCACTGCACTAACGACTGTCTTACGTTCTGCCTAATATGCTGAGTAATTACATACTGCTTAATACAGTCATCTATCCTACCTTCCAATTGTTTCCCATGTGTATTTTGTATGTAGTTTATGTGTAATTGCAGCTTCCCATAGGTTGATCTTCTTATCCACATCTTCTGGTGTAAAGGATGCCATGTCACTACTCATGGACTCGTTGAAGCCTTCATCATCAGCAACCTAAAGTAACAAGCCAAAAATCCATGCCACATATATATCAAGACACTTGTCTGAATAAATAAATGAAATGAAATCATCACTCAATGAAATAATATGAAAATCGAGGAACACATAAACGAACATGTAAAGTAAGAAATCTCTGCAAACTACCAAAATAAAATGACATATTCTAACCTCATTATAAACTGGTACTTTAAGGCCGAGCAGGCTAGTGTGAGAGGGATCTGGTAGCCTAGGTAAGCTGAGTTTAACATTCAAGTCACTTGTTCTGCTGTGAACCAGTCCATGGTATAAAGTACTGCTCCTCTCCACTTCTTCAGCAGACCCATCAGACACCTGTTAATTGATGATTTAAGAGAGGGAAATAACTCTGTGATGATGTATTTAATTAATGCATTATTTATTCATTCTAAACAAAATTTATCATGAAATTGACAAGGGCAAGCATTCCATAAGGTTTTTAAGGGCCTGTTTCTATTCGAAGGAAAAAATCGCTTTTTTTCTTGACAGGACCAGTTCGAAAAAAGCGATTAAAAAAAAATCAATTAACAACACGCAATGTATAGCATGTTTGAACAGCAAATAACTGATTTTGACGGTGCACTATTTAGCAGCAACACAAAAAGCGATTATCAGGTGAAACGTGACCTCCAGGTTGAACCACGATCATATTACTCGCGAACTTTCAAAACTATTGTTCATGTCCAAGGCCTACAAGCTAAAACATCAACACACAGGTGGAGCGATGAAATTACTCGTTTTGTAATTATTTTGTAGGAATATATTGGGCCTAGGACTCTCCACTCCTCTTCTGGGCCTCCCTTTTCCTCTTTCGTTCGCTGTCCAGAATATTTGAATATAAGCATTTGTTACCTTGACAACGAAGAGGTCATGGCCGTGTAGATTTCTTCCGGGTTCCATTTGAAAAACCTGAAGTAACAATTTTGATTTTATTTGATTTATTTGATATCAACTGAATAACATCACAAAACCTGGACAACTGAATACAAAATTGAGAAAACAAGTCATCAATGTTGATATCTGAGATAACCCTCTAAATCCAAATAAAGTATTTATTTCCAGATGGGTCCCACAATAATTTGAATTGATATACTAAATTGTAGTAAATTTCCAATATATTAAAAAAAATTATTATAGTCATCATGATCGTAAAAAAAACGATTTTGTGTTGTTTCACAAACTTACCCGAGCATTTAATAACAAAGTGTTACAACAAAACTGGGTTAGCATTATGGTAGTGTACAAATGATATATTGTGTAGTACACTAGGTATATTATCTCAATAATCTTCATGGCTGGAGCACAAACAATTTTTTTTCCAGGTGTAGTTACAAGTAAAGGAATAAAATAGTAAAAAATAAGTCTACATTATCAAATTTTACATGACAAATTTTTGTGATGTGCCCATATTCGGGCACGATATTGTCATATTACACACAAATATAGACCTATCACAGTTGTTTATCAAATATAATTTTGAGTGTGCACAAAGCCAGGAAACAAAATATTCAGCTTACCGATGTATCCAGATTATGTTGTTGGCCCATTCTATCGGCTCTGTTCCCTGCGCATTCAAAAAGTTCCCTGATAACAAGTAGAATTATTATATTAGCAACAGGGTGAAAGCTACGTTCACACCAAGCCCAGATCCAGTTTGGTGCCTGGACACAAAATCGTGAAAAATGGATTCAGTGAAAAAGAATAGTATTTTGAAATCGTATGATTGTTTTTGTTAGACCAATCAGCAACAAGCTTGGTTGGTTCAAACCAATCAAACGCATACGTACTTGACCCCAAAAACAACTCTGTGCGCGATGTGAACACAGTGTTAAATAAAACTAACAACTCACGATTTTTTGTTCGTGGCACCGGACCAGATCCGGGCGGACTTAATGTAAAGGTCTGTACACACAATGAAGTCCTCAGTGACACCTGATTTGTTAAATATAGATATGATGACATCATCATCATACCCATATATGGCTGCTACTTTTATTTTCACAACATAACCTGGATTGCATCTTCCCCTGAGGAACTCAACCTCTCAGCACCTAATCACCTGTGCTAGGGCAAATGTGCCAGACTCTATAGTAAATCCCCGTGTGGGGAGTATATCCTCCGTACAAAAGAGTGACCTAAAAATATGTCTGAACGTTTCGAAAAATAATAGGTGATTCCCACGCAGATTTTACCGAAAATAAGGTTTAGACCTAATATTAATGTATGAACAATGTATTATGCAGTAAATACGATTCTGCACACCTATTTTCTTAGTAATCTTCCGCGCAAATTTCAGCTGGTTTTTGAGGTACTATATAGGGCCAACAAAAAAAAAAAAATTCTTGTGTTGGCCATGTTTTGGAAAATCAAAAAATTGGGTAGGTTGGTAAGAAGCTTTTTTTTTTTTTTTGTAATGTAGTTAAAAAAAAAAACGGAAACAAAAAACTAAAATGCCGAGCCTCAATTTCATACATTTTAGGTCGGTTGGTCGGTCGTGGCCAACACAATTTTTTTTTATTTGCCTAGTGGAATCATACCTAGAATAGTGTGCATAGCCATTAAGCTGAATATCATGCACCTGACAAGAATCTCCATGAAAGACTGGTCCAACTGGCAACCTCACCTTGTTCTTGAAGACAAAATAAACAAAAACATCTCATATGAACACATCCATTTTCTATTTTGAGACATAATTTATATTGCTTCCATTCAATGAAAGCAGTGCAACTTTGGCATCAACAAATATTATTATAGCAATTACATAACTGTTTACATAATACATCTATTGAATGTTTGATACAATGATCTATTGTTGAGCGGATAGCTGCTGAACCTTAACAGTGAACCTTATCATTTTGAAGCTGATGGGCAATCAAGGGAATTAAAAGTCTATTTTTGACAGACCAGAGGAAAAGCAATGATGAGAGTTGAAAAGGATATGTCCCAGGCCGATTCTGGAAATTTTGTTCAATTCTGATACTTATTATGGCTATTATATTTGAACCAAAATAATTTTTTTGTCCTTTTTTGTTGTGGCAACCAAGGCATAAATGTAAGGGGAGTATTAAACCATGGCACTGTTTATTTAGTTAATGTATTAAAACATTCAAGTTGCTTCTAGTTTCATAATATTTGGGGCATATATTTCATTAGTGTACTTTACCTTGTTTACATGAGTAGAAATTGGTAACCTAAGAGGTTTGTGGCCAATAGGTACTTCTGCCACTGTTTCTTCACTACCAGCCAACAACAAGAGTAATTGTAAAACAGCTTTTGTTTCTGTACTAAGATCTGTAGGTAAAGAGGAGATTCCTTTTAATCGATCTGGAAGATAGTAGGCTGGCTACAGTCTCCACATCACCTCGGGGCTATAGGTTTACCGTTTCCCGAAACTAGAGCAGTCATTATTTGTTTTATGCAGTATACATCATACAAAGATTCTAAAAAAATGTAATGAAAAGAGTACCCACCATTTAGGCCTAGGCTTACTTTCTAAGCCTTGGAAATCAAAGGGCCAATATCTCTCAGCATCAAAGCGGTTGCGACCCCTTTACTCTCCATGACTATCATAAATTAAATAGTCAGCGTTTTAAGTGGGGCCTAGAAATTATACCGTGACAGGGCAAAAAAGTACTATGTATAATTTAACGTGATAGCTTCTGAAATTAGAAAGAATATGAAACGATGAGTCTCACCCATTAAATGGCTACTTTAAAAAAAAAATCAGGAACAATTCGAGAAACTACTGTCAAAACAAACCGGATAAAAATTCATTCATACTACACATACTGTATGTCAGCTCTACAATAATAAATGCTCTAGATAATCACTGTCTTAAATTGGTACCATAGTTGTTATAGTCCATTTCATTGTCTTTCTATTTAGTTATTATTAGTTAAGATTTTTGGTGCTAATATTATGTGTAATATTTATATTTTTGTGATATGTAATTTTCATGTATATTTTTTATATGCGACAATAAAATCTACATTGAAGTCATAGCAGCTATTTAACAATCAGATGCCTAGAGTCTATGGATGCAGTATATAATGGTTTCTATCAGAATTAGTTAGAATGAGAATTTGTTTTCTTTGCCAATGTTTGTAAACAAAAAAATTTTGGCCCCCAGGGGTGGGGCCCAGGATTTTACCGATTAGGGAGGCCTACAGTACTAACACAGCGTCACCATGGTTGGGGCTGAGGTAAGAAAATTTATGAGTATGGCACGTCTGGATGGCCGGAAATGGCACTCTTAAGACTCAAAATTCGAGTACAATTTTTTTTTCTCAATTTTTTTTTTATTGTGAAATCCCTATAGTATGCTGCTTCCTTCACTAACCTTCATCTTTTGCAGCAAGCTTTTCAACGAGCTCCTCCAGTCGGCTAGCGCCATCATACAATCGTCTTTCCCTCAATTTGTAAACATTCACCAGCAAGTTCTCATAGACACTAAATCATTCTCCGCAGTCTGTCTCTTATACACATCTAGATGTGTATAAGAGACAGCTAATATACACTCTGCAACGGTAATAACAGGCTGGACCAGATGTGGGCCAAGCAGTGTAGAACCAAGTAAATGTTTGCCAAGAGAGTCAATGTTTTCAGCCACAGAATTCATAGTTATAATAGCTTAAATATTATTGACATTGTTAATCCTATTCACTGTATAGTATTTAAACACTGAAATAAATAGAAAAAAATACATTATATACCCCTTGCAATGTTTACATTGGCCTACCTGAAACGCTGGCAGCGCACTACCCTGGTAGGCAGAATATTCTCGTAGTATAGGAGAAATGCACTGGAAATCAGAATGCTGGTTAAAATATGAAAGTTACATGGATGAAATTCACATTAATCATGTTAGCATTAGAAAAAAAAAAAAAAATCTACGAAATTACAGTAACAATAATAACAATTTAACAATAACAATAATTTAATAATAATAATAATAATACTGTAATATTACATGAAATAATAAAAAGCATTTATATTGCACCGCATATCCAAAAAACATTTCCTCATAGGCGCATTGCAATGCATAAAATCATGAAATCACAAACATAATCATTTGAAACATCAAATCGAATCAAATGTGTTTTATGCCAGAATTATCTATTTATCTGTAACAATGAGCATGGGTCTAATAATAAGGGAACCCGTCAATTCGAGCGGATGCCACTTCAAGCAAATGCCATTTCTAGCAGATTTGATCAGAATTTACTTCAAGCGCATGGGATGCTAATTCATGCGGAAAAAAGATCCACTTTTGCGAACAACAGGTTCCTTTGTGCAAGTTAAATTTACGAATTACTAGGGCCTACTACCCTAGGCTAGGCCTAGGCCCTAGCTACTTTCTATTTTGAGCTAACAAATTGACAATTTGTCACCTTCTGATCTGATTTTGTCGGAACGATAATTCAGTACGTGTAATAGTTATTGAGCCTAGGCCTAGGTATGCGATCTGA